TTTGTGATTACATTAAAAGTGATTGGGTGAATCCGTGTCACGTGACCGTCCTTCGACAGGAGTTTCCACGACAGCTGAGTAGCAGCTAAATGCGTTTTTTCACCTGTAACATTGATCCTTTTCAACCCCAGTCAGGCGAAGTTTCTTAAAATGGGAGACAAGAAGAGCCCCACAAGGTAAACCTGCCGCTGGTATCTTTGAACGAAGACTTTATCGGGCCGTTTGAGAACAGAAAGCTCGGTCAATGGATGGAGCTGCATTACTGAAGCGTTCATGGCGGCTGGCTGCTTGCTTAATATGGGGCAACTGCCCGTGTAAACTGAAAGCTCCCTTTTCCTCAATGACTGACTTCTGAGCAGAAAACACATTTTAGAGTCGTGTCTTTCCTGTTCTGGTATTCATTGTCTACCAGGGCTTCTTTCAAATCATTGCGCTCATTGAAAATGCGCCGTTATCACAGTGTTTTTGTTTTGTTTTTATCTGAAGGCCAAAGCGGCAATCCAAGCCCTCCGCCGACGATGGGTACTGGGACTGTAGTGTCTGCACGTTCAAGAACAGCGCTGAGGCGTTCAAGTGCTTGATGTGTGATGTCAGGAAAGGGACGTCAACTCGGTAAGAATAAACTGTGGCTGTTCATTTTTTAACGAGTAGGACTGTTTTGATCTTAACATGATTTAAAAGATGATTGGGGATTAAAGTTTAATCTTGGGCATTTTTGAGACTGTAGTTTGTGATCATGGACATATCTGACACTGAGGCATGTTGTCAGCATTTTGCCTGTGAATTTAGCACATTTGAAAACTTTTTAGGGCAACAAAAATAAAGGTGAGGTGTTATTTATCCTGATCACCCAATTTATATAATTGAGGGTAGGGTAGACTAGAAATGCCTCTCAGTATAACAACATACAATCAACATCTCAATCCACAGCCTCCAACATGACCATAGAGTTGAATCAGCACATCTCTGTTTCTGCTAAAAGGAGGATTTATTGCAGGGCTGTTAAGTTAGACTGCATTAGTTTTAGCTAACAAACTGGAGCTGAGCTGATGTTTGGGTACTTAAGCCAAAGATGTAACATGAAAGTACATTTACATATTTATAAATTACATATTTACATAAATATGTTTACCTCATTATTTGAAACTTTTGGCCACATTTAACATGAACAACCAACATTGTAACATTTAGATATGACAGAAAATCCAAGTTTCTCTCAGCTGTCTTGTAAAACCCAAAATACAACCACACTTCAGACTTGAGGCTGAAAAATCTCCAGAGCACTGTGTCCTCTGCCATGTCATCATTGACTCCTGCATCTGGGAGAGTGTTTCTAAGTTTGTTTGATGCTGGACAGAATTTACTGTGAGTTTTTCAAAGCATGATAATCGAACATGGTTTTAAAGAAAATTTTAACCGGTAATACTAACCATTAGGAATTTCACTGTGGTTTATCATTAAACCGGTAACCATTTCATCCCTAATAGTATGAAATCAATTAATAGCTGGAAGTCTACCTACAAGTTTCTTTATCGCTACATCACCAATTCTGTCTAAAGCTAATGGTCACAGCAATGCTTAGACACACTAGCTAAAGTGTTTAAAAAAAACAAGAGAGGACAAAAAGGCATCTCACAGCTAGCTGGTGGGAAAGTTTTACGAATTTTGAGAAGACCTTTGTAACCTGATCACTTTTTGTTTTCTATGTATCCCAGTCCGCCAGTATATGAGGGGAAGAGCTGCAGAATTAGCATTAACACTTTACACTGTGGAGAGCACCAACGGCACCTCGCATCTCCAGACTTTCAGTTAATTTGTTATTACAAGGGGCGTTACCAACAGGCCCAGACCAAAATGCCTCTGGACGCAATTGGATAAACGTAAAAACAATTTGAGCAACGAAGCGTGTTATGTAGAGTTATTGTACAGTTGGTAAATTAAACTTACCAAATCCTGTCGGAAGAATGGCAAACACATATTTTTTTAATCAATAAAAGCTGTAAGTGCAGTTTTTATTTTTGTTTTAGAGAAAATATACTGTCCAGTTTGTTTTATACTGGTTTGATAGTCGACTCAACAGCCTAAATACTTGTCAGAACCATAGTTCAAAAGATAGGCTCACATATGTTGTAGTCTGTCTTTAAAAGTAGTAGCCAGGTGCCCAAATGAACATTGAAATAGGTTCGCTTGCTGTAATCATTTCTCTTGTTCATACTGGCTGTGAAGAGATCCCTTCATTATGCACTTCCAATCAAAGAGATGGTGGACAGCAGTCTTCATTCTATGCAAAAAACATTCCAAAGTTTATCTGAAGTTAATATAGAAGTCAGCAGTCTGAGTAAATCGAATCTTTTAGTGTGAAATACCCTCTTTATGTTGCTATACCTCCACAGCAGCTCTTCATTGAAATGCCGTTCGGAGAAACAGAAAGAGGCCTTAAGACGGCCTTGAAAACTTTGTGAACCCTTTTTGTTTAAGTTTTAGGGAGTTTGAGATTTAGGAGTCAGCCATTGTAAATGATTGCTGTAAGCCCCTTGCTCCCCCTATCATATTGAGTTACACAGTTCAACACCTTAAGCCACATGATCACCCCACTAACAGGTTCAGTGATGTAAATGCATCTATAAGGCCAATAACCTTTTTTTGTCTCTTTCAGAAAACCACGGCCTGTTTCTCAGCTTGTTGCACAGCAAGCAAATCAGCAGTTTGCATCACCCACACACCCAAAAAAGGAGAGGAAAGAAAAATCTGAGAAAGACAAGAGTGATAAAGAACCAACACTGAAAAAGAAAAACCATAAAAAGATGAGGTAGGAAAGGGCATCATATTCCGTAGCCTTTGATATTGTTGTTGGGCTTTGTCACCACTGGAATATTTACTATCCTCCATGCCATTTTCATATCCTGTTTCTGTTTGTTTGTCTTTTCACCAGGCCCAGGTTAAAAAACATTGACAGGAGCAGCGCCCAGCATCTAGAAGTCACGGTGGGAGACTTGACTGTCATAATCACAGACTTTAAGGAGAAAGCTAAACCTATGTCCACTTCAACAAGCGCTCCCTCAGCAGACCAACACAGTCAAAGTGGCTCAAGCTCTGATAACACTGAACGAGGGGTCTCCAGGTGCTCTTCGCCCCACGGGGAAGGCTCGTCGGTTAATGGAGAGACTCACTGACCTTCCCCCTCCGAGACAAGCACAGCCCATTCTTCTGCACTCTCAACAGCCTCAACCAGAGATTAAACTTCAACATGCACATTTTTCTTTTTTTTAAATAATACTATAAATGCCAATATAATAGCATTCACTTCCAATTGGGGTTGTGTTTTTCACTGCCTTCCCATGATGATAAATAATTCAGGAGTCAGGATGTAATGCTGTATGCTCTATTTCAAAGAACTGTTGCAGCGACATCGATTCTACCATAATGAACTGAAAAGAGGAACAGTAGCATTAAATCCCGGATGTCAGTGGAACTGTGCCACGTGTTGTGGTGACTGGAGTTTTGTTACATCAGCATGTTACATGTTGGTCCCTGCTGCACAGAAGAAATTATGCATTATGTAAGAAAATATGAAGAGGCCATCTCAGAATTGTAGTTTGTCCTTGAATCATTATTTGCACTTAATGGCATCCCATGTGCATGATAACATTCTTTAGCATTACTTCCACAATCATAACACTGTTGGTTACTGGCCATATCCAGCCCTCATTTTATGCCATTGGATGCCATTAATTGTTTTACTGTCTAACATTTGAGTACAGATATTGAATAATTATTCCAAGTGTGCTTCTCCTTCACTTGGTAGAGTTAAGCATGATTTAATCTATAGAATGATTTATATTGTAAAATAATGTTAAATAAAATAAGTTGTAGATACTTGGATATGTTATTAATTTTTCATGATAAACGTGAACCGTTTGTCAGACATGGATTTCTGAAGTTGCTTTATTGGAACAATAAAAAAAATATTCAGTGATTTGCTTTAGCATTTCCATAATTTGGATTGTATTTTTGAATTTGTTTACCCTTTTTCAAATCATGACTCAATAAATTCCAGGAAGGCAACACAGAAAAAGCCATGTATTTAACTTGTGTAGCGAATTCAATGAGTGGCACACACTTCATTGTATTGTATGTGTGTGTTAATTTAACACCTTTCACCATGTCCCTTACATTTGTGGTTGGGTAGGAAATCTCTAAAACTGTGTCTTGAAATGAAGGCGCCAAAAAGCAGTTGAAATGACATTTACTCACGTACTGTACAAGTTCTACCTCACTGCATCTCAGAGAGCAATCTTGTGTTTTTTACTCCACTGCATGAATTTATGCATGAATTTGCAGGCAGGTCCTTTGCATAATAAGATTTTTACAAACAAAACGTGGATTAGATTATAATAGATTAAATAATCCAGCAGCTACAACCTTAAAATGCTGCTTACAGTAATTATAATCCAGTGATACATGTACTTATTGCTGATACTACTTTTGTGCTTTTACTTATGCAAAAGCTTTAAGGAAGAAGGTTTAGCCTACTTGTGGCACAGTATGTTTTCAGTGTGACATTGCTTTCACTGAATTAAGATTGTCCACCACTGCATAAAAGGGAGCCATTTTTGAAAAATCAGAGGGGAAGAAGTATACAAAACGTTACATTTATTATTACATTGTAATATTTGTTGCTGTTTTTAAGATCTCACATCCAGTGTGTGGTGTGTACAGTATTCACACCACTTCCACAAACCCCATTTTGAACTACCACATGCCAAACTGCTAGGATTTGGATTAATACTAATACTAATGAATGAAGTACTTATGCATCGAGCTTTGAGTCGTTGATATCTACCTGGCAGTAAGTTAGTTTTTCCAAATCTGAACATTTAGCTTTCAACTGTAACAACACTTAACATTAAGTTGTCAACTGTTAAACTGTAACGTTAGTGACAGACGGTTGATCAAACTAAACACGCGTGTAACAGAAATGGGTGGGGCGGAAACTGTAAACTAATTAATTGTGCTGTAGCACTTGATTTCTGACAGGGATAAGTTAGCTGTTTGTAACGTTACATCGGATGGTTGCAAAGATCATCAAAAATGTTCCGTTAGCGCTTTAAACTTGAAACGCAAAATGCGATGCTATCTTAACGCATTTATCCTCTGCATTGTTTTCACCTTCTTTTCAGTTTTATATGTGTTCAATCAACTAGCCTCCACTTTGGAGGACAGAGACGCATGGGACCTGAAGGAACAAGGGACACCCGACAGGAGCAGTCATGACACCGGTCACCGTCTCAGGAAAAGGCCAGGACTGGCAGGCCTTCGAGACCGTGAACGAGGGTTTGACAGGTAACGTTATCTTAGCTAGCTAACGTGAAGTTAGTCTGTCATCTAGCGTTAATTTAATTTAACACATGAGCACATTAATAACTTAACGTCAATGTTAGACATTTAAACAGTTAAACACTTTTTGTTGCTATAAAGTTGTCGTGGCTGTTAACAAAATAATACATGATGTTGCTGTGGAAACGTTGGTTGACTTATTACAGCTAACAAGCACACGTTAACGGCACATAGTTTATGTTAGCTACCGAGCTGATGGTATATATAGTATATTCAGAGTTTTAATTGTGCTGTTTTTGCAACCACATAACGTTATGTGTTCAACACGGCTAATGCTATCTTGTACAAATCTATTAGCTACCACCTGTTAGCTAGCTAGGTAATTGATTAACCGCTGTTAACTCGTTAATTCTGTGCCTCGGTAGCTTTTGGCTGGATTTAATGGACGGCCACCTGTTAAACAACTAACTCTAGGAGGCAGTTCAGGCCATATCTAATCCCAAAACATGTAACATAGTTCTGGTGTCCAAGAGATGAATTTAACGTTGAGGATCCAAAAGGTCATGTTTTTATTCTGTCAGGTGTAAATCACTGTCAGTTTCTTACTGGAATCCATATTGGAGACTGCCTGCTGATGTTTGTGGAGTGAACTGCATTTTGGAATCATCTCTTAGGTATGGCTGATTTTGTGCATCTCTATAAAAAGATACCAATGTTCTTTAATTAATAATCAATAGACTTCAACATATTTTCCCCTAATTCATAGGTCCACAGTTCAGAGTAAATGCAGGGCATATTGCTGCGCTCACAGTGTACTTTGTGACTACTCTTAAGTACATGTTGACAACAGGTCAGTTGTTAGTAATTTGGTGAAATGTTACTTGTCATAGATTGACATTAACATATATTCATCATTAAACATGCCAGTATCTTATTAAGATTTCTAATCCTACACACAGTACTGCAGTTATAGGCAGAGCGGTAACTTTAGGTTTTCTAGATTTAATGTAAGTGTTGGCAGAGAGAATGATAACAGAGGTTTTGGGGGGCTTGTTTGAATTTGTCTTGCTACAGTTTAACCTATGCTGGCATTATCAGATGTACATATGAGGGATAACTAGAGCCTTGTGCAACATTTTTCGAGTTTGTGAATAATAATTATGTATGTAGGCTTGCAATACAGTGACATGTATACAGAGCGAGATGATTTGAACATGTGCAAAGTGTGACAAGTTACATTCATGATTTTCAAACTTGAAAGTAGTAGTTAACAAGGAGCACTTGCAGGCAGCACAAAGCATGAGAGAGAGTCCTGTTCTACATCCTTTCATTAAACCTAATGACAGTTCCAACCCTACAGGACTGAGTAGCGTTAAGCTGAGTCCGGTGATATCTTCATTAATTTGTTCTCTCCTGCACCTGTCAATGTATCCATGCTGTTGTAAGAGTGAAAGCCGGTGTTGATTACTGATTAATATTGCTTTGTCTTGGCTTTTAGAGGGAGGTCAGGCTCTGAAGTCAAGGAACGTAGTGATGAGAGAAGTCACTTGGCTGTGGTGGCCTGTGGCCCCAGATTAGAGGAGACTCTCACCATGTTGAAGTCTGCTGTTCTCCTCAGCAAAAAGCCTCTGCACTTCTACATCTTTGCTGAGGATGATCTACATGACAGCTTCAGAAATGCTGTAAGTGTCTTCCCAAACACCAGAAATTTCAGTTTCTTAAAGCAATAGCCCAGTTATGACTATATCTGTGTAAAGGATTTCTTATGCTTGTCATCTGATGTTGAAGGCATGTTTGAGAAACAGTCTGCTCTCTGCATGCATGCATGTATTTACAGTAAAGCCTTCTTTTTATACAGTTCCTGGCCCAAAGGCTGAGGTGTGTTTGTTTATATCTTTTCTTAAAGCTGGACTCCTGGCCCAGGATAGTTCAGACTAAGTTTAACTTCACTATCTACCCCATCACTTTTCCTAAGGAGAATGCGAAGGAGTGGAAGAAGCTCTTCAAACCATGTGCCTCTCAGAGGCTCTTCCTGCCAGTAGGTCTAGAGTCATCCTTCATGCATGTAACTTGTAACAATTACACATTTACAAAATTTGCTCCTTAATTTTTTGTGATCTATTTTCCAGCTGATCCTAAAGGAGGTGGATTCATTGCTCTATGTGGATACAGATATCCTTTTTCTGCAGCCGGTAGAGGACATCTGGGCCCTCCTTTCTCAGTTCAATTCGAGCCACTTAGCTGCCATGGCTCCAGAGCACGAGGAGCCACGCATCGGCTGGTACAACCGCTTTGCTCGCCACCCTTACTATGGCAAAACAGGCATCAACTCAGGAGTCATGCTCATGAACATGACGCGCCTCAGGGATAAATATTTTAAGGTAATGTGCAGGTCGATTTTCTGTCTTTTTGTTTGTTTGGTTTTTAGTTTTTTGCAGTTTGTTAATCACTTTTAGCTGTTATGTGCTAAAAGTTTGTACTTTATCTTGTCAATTTAATATACTACTGTGATTTTAAAATTCACAATGTGGATAAGTGTACTGCTCACCTACTGTAAGCAGACAAAGAGCACTCAACAGGTATGAAATATATAGAATGTTATTATGTCCAGGTCTGAAATTCTTCACAATTCCACCTCAATGATTATGAGAAAAGTGTGAGTCTGTGCTGATGGAACCATAACTACTCATTTAATGTGGGCCATGTCATTGTCCGTAGGCTGTGTCAGTTAATACCTTTGGACATTTGTTGTAAAGAATAATTCTCATCTATTGAGTAATATAAAGCCATATTAACCATCAGCATTTTTACATTTAGTTAATGACTGAAACTTGAGATGTGTGAAATTAAAGAGGTGGTATTATGCTCATTTTCAGGTTCAAAATCTTAATTAGGGGTTGTACCAGAACAGGTTTACATGGTTTAATTTTCAAAAAATAATTTTTCTCATACTGCACATTGCTGCAGCTCCTGTTTTCACCCTGTGTTGTACGCTCTGCTCTTGAGCTACAGAGTGATGCATCTTACTTATCTTTGTTGGGAGTTGCACATGCGCAGTTCCCAGGTAAGGACTACTAGCCAATCAGAAGCAGAGAAGGGCGGGACATAAGAAACAAGTTAGTGTGATCCAAATCAAAGCCGCTTCAGACTGCGACCGTAACCTAGTAGATGTTATAAGTTACACTCAAGTCCACAACCACACAACATCATTGTTCCACATCTTACAATAAACCACTACAAAAATCACCATATTTCAACTCAATTTTACATAAAAATTGGCCAAACAATTTGAACGTTTGCTCAGTAGCTTTCACATCAGGTGTAACATTAGCATTATAGTTATAACTTTAGCTGTGTTAGCCAACGTTTACAACAACTCCGCACTTGAACAGTCTGTGAAGTTACAATGCAGTGTTTATTTTAAATATAATTCACAACCAATAAAGCATACTTACAGGTTGTGATTGTGAATTTCCAGGTCCAAACAGAGTCGGAGTTGCGTCGTCTTTTAGGACTAAACGTTGAACTGTTGCCGGTGTTCTGACGATCTATGCTGCCTTGCCGAAAAATGCTACCATAACGCAAATTGATAGACTCGACTCTACTCGGGCCTGCTCCGTTTTCCGTTGCAGATAGTACCCAGAGATGTAAAGACAGATAAGCGGTATGAAAACTTTCCAGCTGTGTTTTCCTCTGCCGTTGTTGCTGCAGCGGTCTGTGTGACGGCGGGAGCAGAGAGCTCTGTGAGCGGACGGCTGGCCGGCCTCACACGCTCTTCCCGCGGGTTGGCACAGGCATCCCCCGCAGCCACTTGCAGAGCTCCTCAACTCCGAGAATATTCAAGCACATTTTTGTTTCGCCATCACTTCTTGTAAAACTGTCAATATTTGAAATCTACACAGCTGATTTCACCTCAAAACTTCTCAAAAGTGGATTTAGTGATGAAATTCCATACAAAAACTGTAAAATATAACCAGTCAGCAGTCTGTCATGTTTTCACGTTACATTTTAGTATCCCTCAGCTTGCTTGGAACCTCGTCAGAGGTGAGGTGATACGAAAAAAAGTACCTGGAAGCAGGTACAGGTACTACATTTTTACAATGTAAAACCAAACAAAAGGGAGTCGAGCCAAAGGGCCTCCGCTCAGACTAGCTTGGTTTGAGGGCGTGCCTGACCCCCGCTAGCCACTTGGCAAGCTTTATGATGCGTTTTCATTGTGACATCACAATGAAGTAAGTGAAGGGCTGGACTACAAACGAGCTGATTTCAAGCAGTTCAGAGCAGTGTTTTCTGTGGGAGATGGGAACTCCCTTTGGGCTGGACTTTGGGCTTTTTCACTCTACAAACCCTGTTACATGCACAAAAAAGAAATATAACTCAATAAAGCCCAAGCCAAAAAGCACAATACCACCTCTTTAAGACAATGACTAACCATTGAATACTGAAGGAGGCTTCAGGAATAGCTGTACCACCAACATTGGCCAGCTGAGGTCACTCTTGTAATTCTTTCTAACCCGACACAATGAGCACGCTAAATGGAAAGAGAAAACCGTTTCTTTGAGTTGATGTGAAGGGTTGACAGAGGGCTTAATTTTCCAGAATTGTATATGGTGTATATGGTGTATAGTTGACTCATGTAAAATTATATGAATATGCTCTTGATTGCTATATTTGTCCTTCTAGAATGACTTGACAACAGTTGCACTTAAGTGGGAGGAAATTCTGATGCCCCTTCTCCAGAAGTATAAACTCAATATCACCTGGGGTGACCAGGACCTTCTTAATATCATATTTCACCATAACCCAGGTTTGTGCAACCACATACACAGAATTATTTGTAGCCATGAATGACATTAGTTCGGACACAAACAAGACTTAACTAGAAGAATGTTTGTTTGTTTTTGAACATTTACCATTACATAAACAAATATTTGAGGGTTTGTACAAACTCAGTTATTTACAATCTTTATTATAATCATGTCTGTGTTGCAGAAAGCATGTATGTGTTCCCCTGCCAGTGGAACTACCGTCCAGACCACTGTATCTATGGCAGCAACTGTCAACAGGCTGAACAAGAAGGCGTCTTCATTCTCCATGGCAACAGGGGAGTTTACCATGATGACAAGCAGCCAGCGTTTCGAGCTGTCTACGAAGCCATCCAAAAGGTAGAGACAGCCTCTCTAACCAGAATATCTGTGGTTTCTATTAAGTAAAAAGTAGAAATAAAATCTTTACTCAAGGGCATTTTATTTGAAAAGGGCTTCTGAATAGAAATGAGTATATCTGTTCTTCCAAAAGTTATTGTTAGGAGTGCTCCAGACACAATCAGCTGAAAAACGTGAAAGGCTTTGTTTATTCTAGTGAGGATCATTTTTATAGGCTTTCTTTTTGGGGCCTCTGTTTCTTCAGAGGGCATTTGGGTAGGTAGATCAGACTATTTGGAGAAACATTTGCTAGTAATTACATTATCAATAGGCACTCCAGGCCATTGCTTTTCTCTTATAGATGCTTCCTCCACCACTGCTTAATCAATAGCCTGTTAAACATTTCCGTCATCCTGTCTTAACTCTCCCAAACCAGATACATCAGCTGCACCCAGCTTCGACCACTCGAGTGGTTCCTTGAGATGTCAACTGAAAGGCAAATTTTTTATTTTAGAGTTAATGCACCTGTTGTTATATAAATTATAATAAGGCAGTTGTTATAACATTTAGGTGAATGCAATACTAATTGGGGTAGTGTCAAAATAGACCACGTCAAAGAGGTCTTGATTTTAGTATCATTATAGGCCAACTTTAAATTATTCTAACACAGTCAATGCAACCATGAGCAATTGTCATTTGACAAAAATAAATCTGTTTAAAAACTGAATTTTTTTAGGTTTACTCTGTTGGTGTTTACTACTGAATTACACTGCTTTCCAATATAACAAAATTACAATTAAAAGTCAACATACATGCTTACTTACTTATTATCCCCAAATCCCATGAAAAGACCAAAACCAACAATGTGCTAGTACTTTTTAACTTCTCGAGCCTGTCTGTCCATTAGGGCTGGACGATTTTGGAAAATAATCTAATTGTGATTTCTTTGTTCCCTTTTTTTTTTTTTTTTTTTTTTAACCAATATTGCAATTGTGATTTAATATGTGATTATTTTTTTAAGCTCTTTATCTTCTGTATTATTCAAAACAGATAAGCAATAAATCAGTGTTTAGTACGACCAACACAATAGTAGATAGATACACATACACTTTCTCTCCTATGTTATGATGAAATTAGGTGATGCCTGAATCGCTTGAATTATTATGCGCAATGGTGGAGAAGTAGTATCAAATTATAATAATTTCAGGGAAAGATAATTTGAGTCAAGTCATGCAGTTAAATAATATATCATCAGGTAGCCCTACCTACAGATAACAAACACAAAGTTCACCACAGTGTGTTATACAGTAAGCGAATCAAATCTTCACAAGAGCAAGAACACCCCCATACCCTCCCCAATTGTAAGTCAGTGCAGCGTAGCGTGCCAAGTTGATGCTTCCTCTGAAGACTGTTTTACACTCGCGTATCATGTGACCACAGTGGAATTGCACAATTTGCGATTAGAAAATCTCATTTTATCATATCACTATAATATCACAAATGCCTGTGACTATAATATCACAAATTATACAGCCCTACTGTATATTCCTTCCTACATGAAGATGTAAATCTTTAAAAGCAGGCTATGAGTAAATACTGTCAGTTTCAGACTAACTGCCAGTGTATCGCTGGCACTTGAAAATGAAGACAGAACTTGGATTAAAAAAGTATGACATCTATCATATTTACTCTAAATGTGTTTCAGCGTTGAGAGCTTAACAGTCCGCTACACATTTGTCATCAGTGAGCAAGCAAGTCAGCCGGAGAGCTCTCTCACTGCTTGCTAGTGGCTCGCCTTCGATCTGCTCTTGTCGATTTCAGCACACCGGTCAACATGCAGGCAGCAATCAGGGGGAGCAAGGGAAGCTTCATTAGCTGGTCTCCATCCATTACCGCCACAGGGCCCAGCCTGGCCACTATCAGTGCGGGCAATGTTCTCAGCCATTAGGAAAACGAGCAGGCTTCATTATGGGGCACTCGGCCCTCATGCTTCCATCAGTCTCCCCGACAGCACAAATGCACAGACAGCATCCAAGACAGCACGTACCAGACTCCACCTGGTTTTAGGAGGAGGAGGAGTGCTCCAGTTTGTCATTAGTAAGCATAATGCGTGTCCTGTTTTTAAGATACGGGTCTTTGTAGTGTACAATAAGCCTATTAGACAGACAGTCTAACTGAAGATCCTTTTTTAGTTATAAGCTATATTTTGTTGAAGCTTTTATCAACGCTTCCTGTTGCTCCAGCTCCTCAGGCCCTCTCCCACTTTGTTCCCACTCAGTCCTTTTGAGGACAGCATCCTAAAGCCTGGAGCGGGCCATTCTGGAGGAAACTGTCATTTCCATCCCACCAAGAGCTCCTTAGTCAGCCCGGCTCCCAAGGCAGGCTCTCCCAGCCAGCAGAGGAGCTTGCAATAAAGGGCACTACCATTACCCGGCCAAGCCCACAGAAGAGTTGTAAAATTTTTAGTGCTGATGCTAGTTTGAGTCATCATGATGGCTGTGTGGACAACGCACCAGCAGCATCCACATAAAAATCGATAGGAGGCTGTTAATGGTGCTTTATTGTCTGCTCCAGTATATGAGAGATAATAAAGAGAGTGTGCTTTGAGTAACCTAATGCCTGGCCAAACTAGAGTCAAATGAGATGCTGTAAAATAGCGATTTCTTCTTATTTACTAGACCAGTAAAAGAATGGTGTACCTCAATATAAAAACAATGAATTACACACTGTACCTGCCTTATTTACATACTGGATGTTGTAAAAACTTGGCTGCTAGTAACTGGGTGAAGTGCTGGGAAGTGCTGTTCACTTGGTGACAACAAAAGCATACAATAATGAAGCAGATCTGGAATGCTGCTGGTATAGCTTTCACCAATGCTGTCACGGCTTACTGAGTCCATTCTCGTATAGTTGTGGTAATAGATATTCATCATCCAAACGCACTCTGAATTGACGGATATGAATCAAATGCAGAATGTTATTGACTTGAAGTGCCAGTGAGAAATGTGGCACTTAATTCGCATTATTTGAATGCAGTTCTTTTTGTCACCTCATGGCTGTTACAAGAGGCAACAGTTGTAGAAATACAAATCTTCTTGTTCTTTTTGTTAAGCATGTTTTCAGTCTTTGAGTGCTGGCAGGAACAGGACAAATCTAAAATTAAAGTAGTTGCAGCCACAAAACCGACACATTAGAAATATAATACCTGCACATTTTTCTTTTGATCTCAGTACAAGTTTGGTGATAACATGGAGACCTCACTGCTTCGCCCGCTAGAAGAGTCGCTACAGATTACCACGAACACCTACTGTGGAAGAGCCAGTCACCTGTTTACAAAGAAGTTAAAACAGAGCATCATTTCTCTACAATGAGATGTCACACAGAGAAGATGATCAGAACTGTATTTATTATATCATTCCATGGTTAGTGTCTTAATTTCTCTCTAGATGTAGAGACTTGGATTAAGGCACTCCTGTGGAGACAATGAGCTGGATAACACACTGAACCCTCATCTGTTTACAAACTGCATATCAAGACTGTAGAAATGGAGAAGGATAATCTGGGCAACAGGTTGTATCTTTATTTTTAAGTAAAGGCAATGCTTGTACACACAACTGGGTCACAAATGCTTTCTCACCATGGTGGGAAATGCACTGAATCCACTTTGGCCTGCATAGATTTTGGACTTTATAAATGACAAGAAGGACACTCTTTTATTTTATTTTATTTTATTTTTTGGGGGGGGGGAGAATCTGCAATTACTTTATACGATTGTCTAAGGCCTTTGGGGGGGAAACACACCAGGGTACTTAAAAACGCTGTTCTTATTGAAATTATTTTTAGAGTTTGATATTGAGAGTTGTTTTAATATATTTTGCATACATGTTTTTGTCACAGTATATAATGGAAAATGGTAGTTATTTTCAGGTACTTAATAGTTACACATGACGTCTTTATCGTGTTTTTATTGATCAAAAATGCTCATTAATAATTTGTAATACTTATAAAAGTATCAGTATTTATTATTGTTCAACATCTATGACAGGAAGAATATAAGGTGTCTTTTTGGTGTACCTTTTTTAAAAATGTAACATGAGGGTGTCATTTCATATACTCTGGTATGGGAATATTCAAAGCAGTGTTTATTGTACATTGTATTAGTGGTTAAGTCATTTCAGTAATATTTTTTCCTATAACTGGAACAATGTCATAAAGAGTATTTGGTATTCAGTAAAGTCAGCTAGCGTCATGAAATCTGCTCCCAGACTGGTTTAACAGCAATTTGCACTATTGATTTGAGAAACTGAGGATTGTAATAACAACAATCATACATGTGATTTTAATGTTTTAAAAGCCAGCATAGACATTTAAATGTATATGAAATAAATGGGAAATAAATATTTGCATTCTGTAGTATCTCTAAAATACTTGCAATAAGGTTGAGTTGAAAAAGTCATAGCATTTTAAATGTGACACAACACTAAAAGTACTTGATGGTTTGGAATTTCTTTTTGTTACTTCAAAAGTAAATACACCAGTATTTTGAGCTGCAAATACACTTAACCCCTGAATGTATTGCCAAAAATAAAGGAATTAAGGCAGATGAATTCTGCTGTAATGAAATTATTTGGCTGAAATTTCTTAAGGTTTCACTTGGAATGCTCGGTTCTCAGTTTCTTACATTTTATATTGTATTCTTATTAAGTCTTTTGCATCAGCCATCAAAACCACTTTGCATAAACTGTATTTGATGCCCACTCACTCCACACAAAGACCGAGCATGAGCCATGTCCTGGAAGGCAGCAGCAGGCTGAAAATAGGAAATTAATGTGAGTGTGAAGACTTCAGAAAGTGTTGTTAGATGGCCAAAAAGGAGCTGATGTGTCTGGGTCAGTAGCCTCTGGCTCTTCATTTCACAGGCAGATTGACAGACGTGCCTAGAATAGGCAATAGATCTGCATGTTGAATTTAAACTGGTTTGTATTCTAAGAAGCTGTTGATACATCCATTTTTCTTGCAGAGAAATTACAAAGTGTTCAGTGAATAGTGGAAAACATGTTCTGTCTTTTAAGAGAGCATTATCCCTTCACAGGTCTTACAAGTTACATCTAAAGCTCATTTTTATGATGTGAAGCCAGTAGCAACCCAGAAGAGCAGTGATACTAAAAGACTGGAATATTAGGTAATTAATGGTTGTATTGCATTGTAAGCTAGTGAACAATAACAGTTTAGGATTTTGTTGATTTAATTGGGAAAAGCTATGGCCAAACTGGTAGATCATTCCAAACCTTAGGGCAAATTGCTACTACTCAGGGTTGATTGATACGATACAGACTGGCTTATAAATTGTGGTCCATATATTTCATGGAGAAATTTAGTTTTTTTTCCACTCCCACTTACAATAGTGTCATTAAGGGGTTACGCGAATGCATATTTTAGTTTGCTGTGTGGATATAAAAAATCACTACACTAGAGCTCAATTCATTTCTCCAATGAAGTGATTATACATTTACAGAGAAATCCTCAATGATATTGAATTCTTTGAAGCAGAACCCATTAGTAAGATAGATGTTTACAACATTAAGTTTTTTAGGGGAAAGTCTAATGCTGCTACTGCCTGGTTTCACTCCCCCTGAGTATAATGGTGATTGAGGTCTCATTCTCTTTTGGCCTAACAGGAACTGCCAATGGATTATTCATGTTATTGCTTGCACCACTTGGCCTCCGTAATGTTCAATAGCGATTTAAAAACCAGACATAAATTGAAACCGTTGGAGTCAAATGGCCCGACACAGAGCAAAAAGGGTCACAAAATAAGGATTATGCAATATTAGACAGTGGTAAGTCATCAACATCCTCTTTACTTGAGGAGCGTGTGGAGCTTACATCATCAACAGTTATGTGCACAGGACATCTAGAGTTTCAAGATGATAGGATCTGTTTTTCAGGAGTGCAGAGTCCATTCCATCTGGGACCAGATGTAAAAATGATGTGTACTCACAAAAACGATCCATGCACCATTTCCTACTCACAAACAAGAATTTAGTAGAATGTCCACTGAGACAGTGTGTGTGCTGATTACATGCTGAATGTTGAACACCTTGTATTTAAACCTGTAATAACAATGGTGAGAGTGAAAACCTTAAAACTGCAGGCCAAAAAACTAAACAATGAGCTGAAACTCAAGCTCTGTAAAGCTGAGCCGAGCTGCAGATTCAGGTGACAATTCTCTGTTGCTTTACTCCTTTCATACTGTCATTGTTTTCATTGGCTACATTCTTAAAAACATTTAAAAGAAGACAGAGGAATAAAAATATATATTTTAATATACATGAAGTCTGTAACATTTCTTAAACAAAACTTTTAGGGCCCTTGAGGAGTTCTGGGGCTCTAAGCAGAAGTTAAGAACTTAAGATTTTTACTTTGTTTAGGCGTCCTCTGCCAGCCACAGGACCAGTAGCTTCTGCTCATTTAGATTTATTATTGCTCCTGTGTAACAAAAAAAAACAATACATGAGACCAAAGAGCTTTGTTATTGAGCTTCTGCCAAAGCTTCAGTTACTGTGGCTGCATTAAAACCAATACAGTGAGCTAAAAGAGGCTTAAAAGCTGTATTAGAGCCGTGGAGATGGGTGATGATTCACTGTGTTTTCAGAGTTTAAGGACAGCTCCATACATACAGCACAGCTCGATATGTTTTGAGGGCTGCCACGAAGACAAGTAAGATCAAATAAAAGGGCCGTTGAGGCTTTCATAGACAAAACATATTACTCAATACGTGTCATGACAACACAAGTTTTACTCATTAAGGGTACTTCTAAAGAATGGCTGATCCTCAATATGTTCATTCTGCAAGACAGCACTTCTGAGGGAGGATGAGACTCCAGTTAGTCAAGGCATGAACCTGACAGCGAGATATGTATGTTGTCAGTTTGATAAATTGAACTAAGTGACAAACCAGACCGGGGATGGGAGGAAAGTAAGAAGTTTATCACAGTTGAATGGACCAAGTAGAAAATCTGTTTTCCCCTTGTGCATCTATCTCTCGGCTCCCTACCGTTCCTGCTGCAGAAGGATATCCTTTAACTAGTGAACATTTTGATCAATAATACATTTGCCAGCACTGCTGAGACAGGTATAATTGTGCTGATATGTCAGGGTTTAAAACAATTAATGTAATTTACAGTTGAACATTAGCTATGCATGGATTTTCCAGTATCATGCTGAGAAGTGAATTTGCCACTGTAAGCAGAACAAGGTGAGAAATATGCATATGGAAATAAAATTAAATTGCTAGTTGTGCCTGTAGTCATAAAGTATGGGTATCATATTTTCACTTTACAGTTATTGAAAGACTCCTTCCTAATTTCAGTCAAGCTCCATGACAAATTGGATGACATATTTAAAATTTGGCCTGATGATAATGCTAGATAAAAAGTCAGACGATCACCAAAGTTATTACAATTCTTCATTGTCAATTTGTATCAAAATTTCAGGGCAATCAATCCAAAACTTGGTCATTTCACTCTAAACATGGGAACCATGCATCTCTACCAAAGTTTACATCCAAAAGTCTTTAGATATTTTTAGATATTTCAGTCATTGCCATCCCTAGAGCCATGCTAGCTAGCTAACTAAAAAAAGGTTATTCCTGGATCTGCTTTTCTAAACTTGCAATTCTAGCACGTTAATCAAATTTATTCTTCAAAGGACATAAGGTGAGATAGATTAATAACACATCGCCTTACAGCTACACTGTGAAGTTCAACGTTTCAACAAATAATCCATACCCTGTCTACACCAAGGGCAGCAGCTCCTCTACTCTCGCTGAACAACTATAAACAACAGCTCAAAGAGCTTCCACATTGACCCCAAGGGCTCTCGCCTCTGCTGCCATCACATTCAAGATAGCCTGGCATGTTTTATAGATGCATAACATTCAAACACCCAAAAATAAGGATGTTATTACCTTCATCCTCCTGTCACTCTTATATGGACTTTTATGGCCCAGTTGGAGCAAATGTCATTGAAACTGAGCATTCAAAATGCACAAGTAATAGCATCTGTATTACCACTCATAAAAGAGGGCATCAATCACTTCAACTGACCTTTTTTCTCCCAGATAAAGTATCTCATCAATGAGCCACATCCCTGTGCCTGAGGGCTTAAAGACTATTGGTTGAAATCAATGCCATGCCAAGTATTGTTAGTGAACAATGTGCCCTATGATTCAATACTCCACATTTTCTTGATTGCGTTGTAGACACCACTGACAAGCAGCATTAATGGGCCGAGCATGTGATTCATGGTAACTGACTGACTGCACGGGCTATTACGGGCATCCACTTTCATGCACCAGCATGACAGTAGCATCAGTTGCCATAAATTGTCTGTGGCTTGGCCAAATGCCAAGAATGTGTTTGTATTGTCTGTTTGCATGCAAATGAATGTATGCTTATGTCTGCATGGATGACTGTTGACTTATGAGAGACATGCCAAAGACCTGGAGCTAGCCGCTATTTGGTTTTCTTCCCTCAAGTTCTCCTGGGCCTCCTGTAGCCTATATGACTTTCTCTCACCACAGTGACTTTCAGTTTTAGTGTCTGTCATTTTCTGTTTTGACCCAAGTCATTTTGATTGCTTGGTAATTGCAGTGAACTGAGCAAACTTTGTTCTGTATTACAGCTTTATCGTATCATTTGTCTTTTCCCTTTATCTTTTCATTCCCTTGAGTCCTCAACCTCATATACTGTAGGTCATTTAATTGTCTTCCACATGCATCCCCTCCTTCACTGGCATTTCCTAATGAATCTATCGTCTCTAGGCCCACACACAGAGGTTGCTTCATTGACTATTGGAGCAGCTCGACCTGTGTTTAATTGTTTTTCTCCGGAGTCTGACAGCCGACGACACATGATGAATTTGCCATAGCATTTATCTCTGACACGGAAAAGGACAAGCCCTGTATACCTTGAAAAACATTCATGGTCGAGTGTGAACTTCTGCAAAATGCAGCAGTTGCAAACAAACATTTTAATGGGTGGATTTCTAAGCATGGTTTTAGATCAGGGAAGTGTCTCTCATTTGGAGGTGAAAGTACATTCAAAGGAAATCCACAGAGCTAAGTGGGCTGTTCCACAAACTCCATGATTTACCACAAATCTCTCTCTACCTCATGAACTGTTGGCTGTGATGGAAGTGTTAAATGAGCTGGGGTTTCTGGAAAAACGTAGACATGCCCCTCATGTGAAACCTATTATAAAAACCTAATCTCGAACTAATTTAGCATTCCATTTCTTGCACTCTAGGCATTTGTAACACTGAAATAGATTAATCAGACACATTACAGAAACAATGCAATTTAAGGTTACCAAGCTGCAAAATGCAGAATGAGCTGCACGTTTTCAACTGAGGAAGAAAGCCATTTTTCAGACCCCCTTGTTATTTTCAAGGGCACTTCGACCACCAAAACAGAGAGATGGTTCCTCATCAAAGCTCCTGTAAATCATTATTATTATTTATGCATGCTTGGAGGAATGGATGGCCTAATTTCAGTGATATGACTGATAGTAGGTGAGTGTAGATTACATGAAGATTTGATGGACTATTTCTTAAGAAAACCT